ACTAATGAAAACAAACCTATAAATATTAAAACTAATTATGCTTCACAGTAAATATGAAGCTACTGCAGCGGGTTAGTTTAGCTTAGCATAAAGACTGGAAACAGCTAGCCTGGCTCTGACATTTCATAGTTTTACGGGGGTGATGTGCAGTATTAGAGTAGAGAGTAATGTTAGAACAATGCTAGCTATCGATCTGTCTAATCTAAATCAATGGTTAGCTGGGAGGTTATGTCTGAAAGCTAATTAGCAAAACACTAGCTACTACCTCACTAATCTACATCAATCTGGGTAGTTAGCTAGCTCATGATTAATGTTGATTATATAGCTAATTAGCTAGTGTTTTGCTAACATTAGCTAACTTAAGATGTGACTGTATATTTGTCTCATAGCATATCTAAATAGAGGGAAGGAGGTAGTGACCGAGGTTCCAAAAAGGGGCGGGGCTTATTTGTACAGCTGTGTAATTAATCGTTTCTGAGGCAGAAAGAAGGTTTTATGTTTGTTTTAATATTTAATCTGCTAAAGTATCAAATACCAGATTGATGTTGGAACGCAGTGATCAATATCTCGATTTGTTATTTAGGTCAAAGGTCTTTGTGGGTCATTTCTGCCCTGAGTTCAGCCTGGCAGGTAGTGTACACTCCCAGGTCGAGCACCGCTCCCAACAAGCTCCGTAAATGAGGCGGTTAGATTGATGTTGGGTCAAAGGTTAGAAACAGTTTCCTGAGATGCGAGTGGGAGGAGCCTGTTGGGGACCAAACCGCCTGGGAATGAGCTCTGCCTGAGGAGACGAGTTCAGGGGCAAAAAACGTATAGATCTGTGAAAGCTTTGGTTTGTTGAGGTCAAAGTTTGGCGTATTTGTGGCTGTAGGTTGTGGACAGATAACGACTGCTGACGGGAGGACGCTGTATCTCACATGGACACGATATCGGTGGAGTCGTGGGGGGAAATCTGAAGTGATGCATGTCAGTCCCCAAACCATGCTGTTCTGCATGCAATGCCACGGGCCGCCATCAGTGCATGCAGAGCTCAGGCGGACTGCACATATACTGGAGAGTGTCCGCCGCTGTGTTTTCCAGTCAGACCAGCTCTGGCAGAGGACTGGACGGACTGGGAAGGAGGGGAGGAGGCTTCTCTGCACCTGCAGTGATACAGCAGCAGCAGCAGCACCATCATCATCATCATCATCATCGCAATCAGCTGACCGGCGGCGACCAGCAGCTGGGAGTCACTGTAACACTGGAGATGTAGCGAAACCTGCTGCAGGCCTCAACACACTGCTGAGCCGCCAATCACTGCAGAGGGCGGGACCACGGAGTCTCCCTGAATACACCGCGAGCAACCGTCCTACACAGCAGCGACCGGCCAATCAGAACACCTCAAATATACTTTAACATTAACACAGATTACATTACAGTGGAGGTATTATCTATGTTTTCTGTTTGTAATCAGGGATGATGTATTTTGTGGGCGGAGCCTAACTGGTGTCAGAAAGAGACAGTTCTGCAGTAGCTAGCTGTGCTAAGCTAACTGCGTAGGCATCGGCCAAAACAGTCACATGACATACAAAGCTAACGTTAGCTAACGTTATCCAGCTAAAACCACAATATCACATATTTATAAAGCTTTGTTTTAATGTTAACATTGACTTTGGACGCTAGCTAGCTAGCACAACTTTCTACATATAACGAAGTTCAGCATTTTAATACTGTTGTTTATATTTATGTTATATAGTATAAGCTTTATACTAGGTATGCATTATATTATCTGATAATATATAATTAAGTGTAGCAGTGTATAATATATCATCATATAAATACATATATTGTATCATTACAGTATAATAGTATTTTATTATTGTAGGTATCATATAAAGCATATTGCAGTCAGTAGAATATATTATATAATGTGTCATATATTAATTATTAGATATTACATTACTGGAGACATCCCAGTGGTAGAACAGTATTATTCTATTATAGTGCAGCATTATATTACACTGTAAAAACAATCTGTACGTTTACATTTTCTGTATTTTAATACACAGAAATTTAATGTAAATGTAAAATAACGTGTAAAATATGTATGTTACTGCTAATTGAAAATAAATTACATTTTTTTCAATTTTTTTTCATTTTTTTTTAAATTCAACTTTAACACTGTTGTGTAATTGTAATGGATTAGTTAGTTAACT